AAAGCATTTTCCAGACGTTAAAAAAAAAGTGGACAGCTAATAACTAAGACGACGATGATGACGAGTATGAAATATGGCGGCTGGGAAAAGGGTTTAGTAGTAATGGAGACTAAAAATCCCATTGTTAACAATGCCACTAGACCTCCACGCGGTTCCCTTTGGAAACCATCGTAGTTTATGATGAACCAACTGAGCTGCTTTTATCCTCACCTATCATCCCTCACTGGTGTCCCGCCAGCATATACCGATAGCACAAATGCGGTTACCATTCCATTTTCAAATTAAAACTGCTTTGACGTATATCATTACCGTCTTACGCCGTCAACTAGTTAAGTAATTAGGACAAACAATTAAAAACGTGTTAATTATTCGTCTATTACTTTTAAAACTCGCTAGTTTCTATGTAATATTTTTTTACGTGGATTTACCGGATTTAATTACCTATTTGTTTTTACAACGTTGTTCGCTTGTATCTCACAAAAATTATAATCAAAAACAGTTTTGTTCTCTAAAAGAATCATAGTGAAATTCGTGTAAGTTTTTTTTATGTATTCACAAATTTTGTGTATGACTACGCGAATTTTTCACAAATTTTGACAACTCTTCATTTTTTTTAAAATGGGGTTATAAATTATTTCAAGGAGAGGGATTGCTAGCAATATATCCTGTCAGGTTGACTTTGACGCAGTCACCGTAGAAATCATTTTTATTTATTTATTTATTTACACTTTATTGCACCATTTATAAAAATAGTAAATATATTTAATTGTAATGAGAAATGATACAAAAGGCGGCCTTACCGCTAAGCAATCTCTTCCAGACAACCTTTGGGTAGAGGACATTGAGAAAAACAGGACAGACAAAGGGTAGGTGGCGCACTATTTTATATAATAAAATAGTGCGCCACGTACGTAAACTAATATATACACACAAACACACATATATATACCACCATGGAAGTATTTTTGCCACTATGAGCCAACTGATCCAACTACATCCTCATCTTTCACTGGTACCCTACTTGCGTTCATTATCGCAGATTTTATGATTCTATTTTCATTCACAAAAACCTAACTAAATAGTCAGTGGAAAGTCGCCGGTCACAGTTAATTTTCAACGCATTTCATACCTTAGTTACGCAAGCAAGGCCGACCGACACGCGGCGTGCTATATGCACGTAACTACATACTAGTTTTAAAGGCAATGCGTATGTACACAGGTACATACATATAACATACCTACTGAATAATACAATTTTATATGAACTCGACGCGTGGTAAATTGTATAAAAGACTAGCTACCTACCCTGACTTCGCACTGATATGTAGGTAGACATCTATTTTTATTTTAATAAATTCCAGCAATTGTCATTTGTTGACAATGTAACTTTCCATAAAGAATTTTTAAAATTGTTTTTTTTTTTATCAGCCGTTAATTGTACACTGCTGAACATCGAGCTACCCCATAAGGGAGGTTTTGACAGTGTTGTCATGCTTGGCAACCGCAGTTAGTCTTTGGTGACGTGATAAAGTCTTTCATCCTGTATCTATCTATCTATTCTATTTAAGAGCTGCGCTCTTGTCGGCGAAGCTCTTGCCACTCACTATGATTTTCAGCAAGTCTCTTGATAAGACACGACACCAACTTAGTTTATCCTAATATAAACTATTTTTCATGAGGTGAAAATGGACTAGTACCCTGGAATACCAGTGAATGATGATAGGTTAGGACAAAGTCGGTTAAGTAACAAATACAGAAATTCGTTAAACTCACATTCAAGTTTACTAATAAAGATTCTCAAATTTCAACATTATTTTAAATACTCATAAGGTAGATGTAAAAAAATCTTTAGAGTAAGTCCCACAGAGTACCTACTGTCTTTTATGTTTATCAAATTTCTCTATACTAATATCTTTATTAATTATAATTAGTAAGTTGTAAAAATGGATATAAAGGCTATAAGTTCAAATAACCAATGTGATGTAGATACAATATTATTATAAACAATTCTAAAAATCTGTGAGGTCTAAGAAAGCAGCAAGATTTTTTGAGATGACTTCTTGAATGTTGAAAATCAATCTTGATAGATTAAAGATTCTACTGTAATGTGTCCCCTACTTGTGTGTGAGCATATTTAAGTAACAAATAGACAATTTGTTTAGGAAAGTGTGATGTTAATGGAAGATGTATGACTGCTCATAAACAAAGCATATAACAAAATCCATGTCACATTAATTATATCAGCTATTTTTTTTTTTATTAGGCCCAGGTTTGGGTGTTTCAGGCTATTCTAGCTTGAGGACCGAGTGTCATATTATTTTGTGGTGCTACTAGCAGAAATTTACAACTACTGATTGTATATAATAAGATTGTATATAAACTGTAATAATTTACGAGTTTCTAAAAAAAAATCATCAATCCCATCCTTAGGGATGGTACACCAACTGTGTACTGATTTTTTTTATTCCCTACTATTAGTAGTAGAGAATAAAAAAAATCAGTACACAGTTGGTGAATGACAAATACACACAACAATTACAGTTAAACTAAAGACATCCTCTTGTTTGAACTTAAAAAGTAAATTTAAAAGAAACAGTAAAAAAATTTACAGTTCATTGTAATAAAAAGATACAAATAACATGAACTACACCATGAAAACTTCAAATATCTAGCCGTATCTATAACTTCATTCACATGACTGAAAAATATTAATTGTCCAGAATAAAAAAATCTTCATACTAAATGTAATTACAATTGATTGAGCCTATTGAGACCCCACCCTAAGATGTAACAAACAAACTCTTTTACACAATCATAATATTACTGCAGTGTAAAAAACAATAAACAGTTGTCTAGCCCTTTTAGTACATTTAAATAATTTTTCAATAAATTCAGATGCAATGTTGTCTAAATCCATTGGGCAACTGGTACAAGACAGTTCTTTAAACTATGATAACCAATACTTAACGAAAACCATCTATAAACCCTATTTTGGCAATATGTTCTGTCACTGTTTTTCAAATTGATAAATTAGTACAAAATAAAAGGACAAAACACTTCTAAAATAGGTACACACAGCTAAAATAGGTTCTTTTTTATGCAACTTAGAATGAAATATGAATTACTTAGGTTTATGAAACATTTGATATTTTACAAATAAAGAGGTAAATGTGAGAGTGAAATTATTTGTTTGTAAGTTCTTAGTGACTCAACAGCTTAACCAAACATTATATTATCTATCTTATATAGTATATGAGATGGTGAAGGATGGGATGGAAGGAGGTCACAATGATGAAGTTGCTAGTAAAAGTTGGCTAGGATATATTTCCATTCAAGAATTAACTTAGCATTACCACTTCAGGGGACTAGAATGCTTGCTGTCTCTTGTATCAAAAAATTTATTAGCTAAACCTTTGCATTGAAAAGGAAGTGCCACATTTAGTTGAATATAATAAACAATAGTCCTACTCATGAATAATACATTGCACATTACTCATTCCAACATTTTAGTAGGTAATCCTTGAGTCATATTGAAGGAACATCGGAAAACTAATTTTTAGATTACAATACCAATAGTCCTTGGGAACAGCAATGGAAAGCAATTGTGCACCATGAGTATTCGAGTATTTTGTATGATGTCTGTTATCAAATCTACAAGTGACGGTTACCACTTTCCATCACCTGTGACGCCACCAAATTGTTTGCCATTCTAAGTTATACAAAAGTGTGTATAAATTGTAACAATTCAGAAACAAGCTCTGAACATATTGAATTTAAATTGAACAGCAATAATTTACACATGCATTAGTTACATTACATGCACATGTTTTAAGGTTACATTTAATAATAAACACCATCACCATCGGATGATGAAATGACAATAATGAAAACAGAGTAAACAGAAAATATAGATCTATAGGACACTCCCTATCTTGAGAATAATATTAAATCTAAGGGTACCCACTTACCAAATCTTTAGTATTATTAGATATATTGCCACAACATGTTTGACTTGTATTATTTTATGTAATTTGGTGTTCAATTAAATAGAAATAGCACTAAAAGTAAGCAGGTTACATTTCATATGTTCATGAAAAGGACAAGTGTAAAAATAGAGATTGATGGCTTTCAATTAGATTACAAGCAAAGATCTGACTAAACATATGATCAGTGGGTACCCTTAGGGACGAAATACAAATACACAACTAGCACATAAGTATAACTAATCAAAAAAATAATTGTAAAAAATGCAGAAAACTATAAAAACTATTGCTGAAGAAGTTAACTGTTAAAACAACGTACAAATATCATAATAGTACTTACACATTGATGTGCAGAACATTCAATGATCCAAAATTATCTATGTAATAATAATAAAAAAAAACATTGCCCTAATTGTTAACTAAATTAATTATCTCGTGACATCACAGTTACGTAGATATATGGAATGCAATTGATTTATAATGTAGTAACATGTAATTATGTTTGATAGTACACAAACCTCTAAAATGGTATTGAAACACGAAAAATATGATAACAAAAACGATAAAATCTTTCCAAAACAGTTGTAAGTTCACCATTTCGCGCTAATTGAACATAAAAATCTGATAATAGGAACAAATCGATGTTCCTCCATCTAGCAACAGGGCAGTTGTACGTACTACGAAGCTATAGTACATATATACATATAGGAGTATATCATTGCTTTTCCAACAATTTCGAGACATCTCTTTGTTTGCTGATACTAAATTAACTTAAATCTTTCGACTAGATATACGGGTGACTCAATTAACTCGACAACAAGAACCTTATGACAATGTTTCACGGAACGCCTATCCACCGGCGACTAAAGCATACACCCATATCGATACACGATTTAGCTGTGGACATCATGTAAAGTAGCCCTATCTGGTCACATTTATACAACAGAAGAATACAAATAAGTAAAGTAAGCAGCAAAATAATGATACGATAATGATATAAAGATATTAGAACTTTACCCTTCTGCCAGCTAGTCTCGTAGTCCGTTCTAGCGGTTATCGGGCGCTTCCTGTACCACTATTAAGACTGGATTCTCACTTTTTGGCACATTTTGAACATTATAAACGACACCTCACAGAAATATGTATTATTCACTAGTTTTTATCACAAATTCAACCACCATTAGCTACTCATACACCCTCGAGATCGGTCCTTTTCACGGCCATTTGCAAATTGCGTCAAAGTTCCTGGAATGTGATTGGTATATTCTGCGCTAATGTAGTTTGATTTCGTTATGCCATCTGGTGCTGTAAATTCGAACTATAATTTTTGTTATTGGAATTAGAACTTTCTTGCATTACGTTAACGATAACCAATACTAACTCTAAACGCACATATGTCGTTTCAAAACAAATGAAATAGGGTGCGGTAAGATGTGTTTGAGAACCCCGTATCGTGACGTCAAACTGGGCGTGAGAAACTAAAACGCGGTTTATTTGAAATATAATTACCACCTTTATCCACCTTCGTCTTATATTATTGTTGACATTAAAAAATGTTTATTGTATCTAAATAAATAGATACAAACACAAAATAAAGAAAATATTATTTTTAATTCTGTTATAAATATATATTTTAACTTCACAAAAAAACGTTTGTGAAGTTAAAATATGGTTATACATAGATTAAGAATAGTAACTCTTTCTCATAATGCTTGCTTTTATGCTAGAGAAAGAGAAATGGATATTAATTATGATACAAACCCCAAATTTTTTATAACAGTGAATATGTATCCAAAAACTATGTAAAGTATAATAAGTTAGGACTACAAGTATTATTTTTAATATATGAATACTTCGTGAATGACTGTCAATTAAAATTATATATATATTACAGTTATAATTAAGTACATTTTTATTGGGTTACATTAACTACAAGAAGCGACGCTATTTGCCATCTAGTGGCAATAGACAGAACTTATTTATAATTTTAATTTTAGAGGCACAACTATTTCCATTGTTTCTGCCTACCCTAATGGGAGACAGGCGTGACAGATATATATACGAGGTTTGTCCATTTGGAAAGTACGTATAAAATTTTTTAAAAATTTTATTTTACAATTATTCAGGTAAATCAATTTTATCCCCTTCAAAGTACTCCCCCTGTGACATAATGCACTTGTGCCAACGCCGTTTCCACTGTGAGAAGGCTCCTTGAAAGTCCTCTGGTTGTAGGTTTCTCAGCTGCCCCGTCGTAGCTTTTTTTATCTCATTTATGTCCCCCAAATGCCGCCCCCGAAGTACCAATTTGGTTTTTGGGAACAAGAAGAAGTCACACGGGGCCAAATCCGGCGAATAGGGGGGTGTTCGTAAAATACTCCCCTGTCTTCGTCCAGTCACCGTAATGGAATTTTTACTCAAAAACTCACGGAACGATCTTGGCGCAAATTTTTTTCATTTGAAGTTCGTTTCTTAGAATTTCGTGGACCACGGTTTTGCCCAAATTAAGCTCTTCAGCCACCTGTCTGACCGTTAAACGACGGTCCCCATTAACACAAGTTCGAATTCTTTCCACGTTTTCGTCGGAATGTGAAGTGGAAGGACGTCCTGAACGTGGGTCATCTTGAACGCTTTCTCGGCCCTCTCTGAATCGATTTTTTTAGCCACTTGTGGACGGTTGGTTCCTTCACAGCATCATCCCCATAAACTGTTCTGAGATCGGCAAAAATTTCACGGCCATTCTTGCCGAGTTTCGAGAGAAACTTGATTACGACGCGCTGCTCTTCAACGGAAGCGGGCTCCATGCCGACGGGGTTTCGTTAAGAGGTAACTTCACAGATGGCGTGACAAGCCAGTTCGCACCGCACGGCGGTCAGACCAGAACTGAAGCATTGTTAGGGATAAGGAAGGGGTCCTGCGCTTACCTGGCCTCCCCACTCCTCTTTCTCGCATTCCAGAACACTTTTATACGAACTTTCCGGACAGACCTCGTATATATATATATATATATATATATATATATATATATATATATATATATATATATATATATATATATATATATATATATATATGATGAGGCACAACTATCATTCGCTCGCTAATTACTTCAAGGTAAAGATTACGAATTCCATTTTTTTTAATTCTCAGGCGCCATTTGTAGAAATTAAGGGATAAACATATGTTGAAAATTAAGGTTTAAAAATGAAAATGAATTAATTTTTTAATAGATTTAAGCGAAAATTATTATAATTCCAGTTTATAATAGTCATAAAACAGTAATTATAAGAAACAGTGAGAGATGATAGGTGATAATTAAAAAAGAGATCGAATATTGTTTCGCTTTTATTTTCGAAGATGTCATAAAATTTTATCTTATGTACGTTATAGAAATAATTGTATTATCGTCTGGTATCACAAAATTACAAGTGATTGGCTATTTTTCTAAATTATCAAATTAAAATTACTTAGCGATATGGCCGCCTTTTGTAAAAATACGCCCAACTACAAAGATTTCGGCTCGTAGATTCAAATATTTTAAGCTTACATATCACCCCCAATTATTGCATAATGTAGATATTATCCTTTAATAAAGACAAATATTTGTGACCATAGATTAAGAATAGTTTCTGAGGGTGGACAAGTTCCAACCTCTACATAGCGGAGTGGAAAACGGATTGTTAATAATACAGTTAACAGTCCCATTGCAAGCAATATACCCTGTCAGATCGACCTTCACGTGGTTTCTACTGAAAACCATCGTGCTAAATTTGTGGTGTATTCATTACAATGGGCTAAGTGACCTGTCTTTTCATTTTCACCTAAGTATCCTCGCTCACTCGTATCCTGTCAGCGTATACCTTTAGTGCAGGTCATTTCATTATTAATCATAAAAATACCTTCACAATTATTGTTAGAATAACGATTTTCTTAACCTTCTTGTTTTGTGTTTGCCATAGAATAAGGATAATACCAACGGATTCTGTTTCTATGGTACTAATTTAAAATTTATCCAATATCTGCAATCAATTAGTGCTGTCAATTTGTCAGTTAGACAAATCCATAGATTACCAAACTATTTTTTAAGGGAATACCCAGGGAATACCTATGATATATATTAGAGCCGATTTCAAGGTGCCGTTTTTCTAAATTTATCTTTTAACCTAATATTTTAATTTAATAATTTCGCGAAATTACTGTTTTATGGACCACAATAGACTAATATTATAAGAATTTTAATTTAAATGTATTAAAAAATTTATTCATATTGGTCCTTGGAATAAAGATTTCGCCATCACATCAAATTGAAACTTCAATTTTGAAGATAAGTCAAAAGAAACAGCACCTCAGATTCAATTCCAATGACAGGTCAGATGTTACTAGTCGGTAAGACGTCAGATCAACATTGCCTGATTGAAAAATGTTTTTATTTTTTCGGGTAAAAAAATTCTGTTAGTGACATTTTGAAGAACAAAAATTCTTGGAGAAAATTTTATAGAAAAATGAGTTAAGCTTTAAAAATTTGAGTAATATTATTGACAGTTTTAGTCTTTGTAAAGGGTATAGTATAGATAGAGATTTAAAAATATAAGAATAAAGTACAAAGTCTGTTTGAATACAGAACTAGAGCACGAAATTCATTTTAATGTAGAAAGGCGCATTTGAAGATATTATTAAAATTCTGGAATGGAAAAGATATTATATAAATAACAATGCCCAAGTATTTTTAGCTTTTTACTTTGTAGTATATAAGCCTATTGGTAAAATAAAGCTATGGCTATTTTTTCTGATACTGGTTACTTATATTTACGATAGAAGTCGTTCTGTATTTGAATAAAATCTTGTTCTTTTTTCCGATTTGCCGATGATATAATAATTGAGTTGACTCAAGAGATCTGTGTTAGAGATAAGTTGACCCTTACACACAATATTTATAAATGCATTAAAAATGTAATTTACAAGTGCAATAAAGAATATAATTATATGTAATTAATATAAATAATAGTGCTTCAAGGATAGCGTCCATGGCAAACTTATACTGGTTACGATTTTTCTCATCGAATATTATTATGGGGTAAAACAGCTAACATCCAAGCATATTTAATTTAAAAAACGTGCAATTCACCAGATTTATACCATGAAAGGTCGTAAATAACTAAAATAAAAATGTAAACAAGCAAATATTCTCACGTTGCTCTACAATACATATATGTAAATATTTTGTATATATGCATATCTTCAGCTATTTCTTAAAAACAGCGATTTTAAATAATCTTAATACTAGATACAAATTTAAACTTGATGTTCCAAAGTATCGTTTAGAAAAAGCTTTTTTGGCTACATCTTTTAAAAAATTTAAAACTGTTATGAATAAACGCTTATTGAAAAAAGTCACAAACACACTAAACGATTACTTAAATCTTATAGGTGCAAGGTATTTCTTTTTAATAGATGATAGTGAAATAGTAACTCCGCCTGCACTATTGGTATACACTAGAGAGGCATTAGTGAAGGATGATTGGTGAGAACAAAAAGGCGGGTCAGTTAGCACGTCGTTACGAATTTAACAATAAATTAGTGACGATAGTTCCTAGAGGAAATCCCGTGGAGGTTGGCCTGATAGGATATATTGATAGCAACCTTCCCATTACTAACAATCCCTTCCCCCGATGCAAGGTATTAGTCGAACATGCACAAATTTTTAATGACCATACAATTTCAGACACAGTACATATAAATAAATATATGTGCATTTTTAACATGTTAACACATGTTAACAGAGACTTAAAAGAGTAGCTATTAAGTTTCTTGCGGGCTCTTTTTACTAAAGCAGATTTAAAACGAAAAAATGACGATTTAAAAGTACTTGTAAACAAGTCCATTAATTAAATCTAAGATTAAAGATTATAAGAATTTGAATTTGTAGAGGGTAAAATATAAAAATAGAAATAAAGAGTAATTTTTGTTATTCTTTCTGTGGAACATTGCAAAATTAAGTGAAAAACTATACAAGTTTTTGATAAGGTATAAATGTAGAAATTGTATCGATTTGGAGAAAAAATATTTGACGTTTGGGTAAAAATAATAAATTGCATTCCAGACAATTTATCTTTTTGAAGACTAGGCAGCATGGTCTCCGACCTTAGCCTGTTCCAAACGGAACAAACGTACTAAAAAAAATTAAAAAAAAAAATAATAAATTGCTTATGGCAATCCTGCGACAGATCCATCAGTGGAAGATTTCCTATTTTGACTTTATTTTCAGTGTTTGTTTATATTTTATAAAAACAATCACAAGTGAAAATATTTATTCTAAACAATTTGAATAGTCCATAGAAACAACGGTGAAAATTTTTCATAATCCTTTCAATAGGTTTTTGTTGAAATTAGCGTGTTACGGATAATAAGCAAAGATTTCCGGGTAACATTTGGTAAGTTTTCCTTTTATTTAAAATATTCATAATTTATACTTTAACATTAGGGTGGTTGTCGATTTTTTTTTTTTATTTTATCATTGAATATATAAGAATTGTTTGAATAAACTCGTTTTACTAACCATTTCAGTAACTAAACTTGTTCGATACAATATTATAATTATGAGTCTCACGGTACTTGGAGAAATTTTACTTAATTGAAAGTATATTTTAATTTTGAATGGTTGTTATTTGTTAAGAGGAAATGAGAAACTCAACAGTTGCTCCATTCCTACTTTACTGTCATTATTTATGTACCCATTTATATATGTAATTGTTGTTGGTGTATATTGTAAGGGCAGGAATTTCCAGAAAAGTTGTTATTACAAAAGCTTTCCTGTGAAAAAATTAAGAGTTCAAAATGATTTATTTATGCTATTTTTTTTTATTATCTATGCACACCAATTTTTTTTAAACTTACCATTCAGTTTAGTAATTTATTTTTTATGCCCAAAAATAAAATAATGTGTAGGTCAGAAAAAAATGTTAGTTTAATACTTATTGGTGGATGTGGTTTGCACTGATAATTTAACAAATTAACTAAAGCAACATATTTATTATTATACTTGGCACTTAATGATGTTAAGTCCAAGTATAATGTATTTTTTATTGCTTATTGTATATAAATAAAAATATAGTAATAAATACTACACAAATAAAAATTAATAATAAATGTAACAAGTTCCTTGGACTTGGTTTAACATATTAACTTATTTGTACTTTGCAATGCCATTTCTACAATGTTTTGTTTGTGGAATCACTTTGATAAAATATGCTTTGTTTCTTTGTGCTGTTAGCTTTAAAGGCGGCCCTAATTAATGTGTACTTTATTGTATTAGCATATGTCTTATTTTGAAGTGTATATAGTAGGGAACTTAGTCATCAACCTTTTGTTTTATGTTCCTGTCAGATGTACATACATTGGTTACTTTGTAATGCATTTATTATGAGGAACATCATAGTAAGCCCTTGCCAATTCTGATGTTTAAATAAATATATTTAACAGTCTTTTGTATTTTTTTTTAATCCTACTATATTATTTATTTATTAAGGTTTATTCGCACCTTTTCAACTAACTTTATGAATTAGGTTCTCAATTCAAATATATTATTTTATGTTTGTTACCTTATATCTCAGTTAATTTTGAATACCAATTGGAAAATTCCTTTTTATCTGAAAGGATATACTTACAGACTGGTTTCATAGAAATTTTATCAAAATTGATTCAGCAGTTTAGTTTTTATATCATAATAACTGATTTTATTATAATTGATTTCCATTTTTTTTTGTGAGATAATAAAATCAGATTTAAAAAATGTACTACTTATTTGACAACATAAAAAAATGTCTTCACAGTTGAACAACAAATGTGTTATTATGAACAGTGAATCTGACACCAGACTGGTAGCTGTGGGAAGCTGGGTCATTGATATCCCTAAAATATGGTTTAGCACAATGATGGTTGGCTTATCTGCTGTATTTGTAAATGGGTGTTTATTTTACATTAAATAATATATATATAAATAAAATTGAATATATACTATTGTCTATATTTATAATAAATTGACTATTGTAATCTTTTGGAGGAAACAATAAAGAGTATCTATCTATTTACATTGAAAACAGTAATTGTTAGAATTCTAGCAGGTTCTTCTCAACACATAATTATTTATTTATTTTACACTTTATTGCTCCAATTAAAAAAGATTAAAAAATACAGTAAATGTTAATGGGAAGTGATACAAAAGGTGGCCTTATCGCTAATCAATCTCTTTCAGACAACCTTTGGGTAGAGGACATTGAGAAAAAGACATAGGGTAGGTGGCGCACTATTATATAGATATTATCCTATATAAACATAATGAATAACATTCAATAGAATAACAGATAATGATAGTAATCCAATCTGTTAGTAATAGGGTCTTAGTTCCATTGCTAGCAATGTACCCTATCAGGTAGAATTGTGGCATGAATTTACTGGGTACAGAGGAATAACACCTGAGTCCTCAGGAATGGCAATGCATGGGGGGTATCATGGGCGAAACAGTGTACTCTGTTATGTCCATGGTACTGCTCATGTATATAGGCAACGGTTACCACTTTCCATCAAGTGGGCCGTTAGCTTGTTTGCCATTCTAAGTTGTATAAAAAAAATACTTCCATGCGTTTCCCCTGGAAACCATTGTGGTTCATTCTCAATTCTTCTTCTTCACAATGGGCTGAATGACCTGCTTTCATCCTCACCTATCACCTCTCACGGGTGCCCCGCCAGCGTATACCAATAGTGCGGTGGGATTACCATTCTATTTTTACCTATAAACAAAAAAACTATAACCCCCCTAAATCGCATGGGATACCAAGGACACTACAATGGATTTGTTATGTTTATGTCCACTGTCCAAACCCATCAGTATAGTTTAAATCAATGAAGATTTAAAAGAGCTTCTAAACTATTTGAAAAAAGATTAAATGTATTCTGTTTTATAATGAAAAATGACGTAATAGTAAATAGTTTAAGAGTTTCTATGAAAGATTTTTTTTAATAAGTCGTAATTGCTATGCATGGGAATTGATATTAATTTATCCGATACTGATCTGATTGATAGTGCGAAATTAAGAACATACTTTTTTTTCTCAAAAATTTATTCTTTTTTTTTGATGGATGAATATGTAATGGTAACCCCCAAATATTTTAGTTAGCCCAACGTGACGAATTGTACAAGAATTTACTGCCATGGTTTGCATGTGAACCATGGTTTGAGATCGACCTGATATAGTATTTATTTATTTATCCATTCAGGCACAGCAACAGTAATACAATTCACATTACATTGACTATAATAAGCTTTATAACTAAATAATTGTTTTAAAATTGTACATCGTTAATTGTTACGCATAGCGTTAGCTTATACTAGTTCCAATATTATATACAATAACAATAGAAAATGAGAACAATTATATATTAAATTCAGACACTATTGCTATTTTAAGAAAAAAAAAAAAATTTAATTCCTGATGAATTCATCATGATGGGCTAACTGGCCTGTTTTCATTCTCATCTATCACCCTTCACTGGTACTCTGCCAGCGTATCCAGTTACCATACCATTTTCATCCATCAAAAAAAAAAAATATATATATATATAAAATATCGGAGCCCCCCACATTTTATGTCTTGCCGGGGTCAGTGCTCTTACCGGTTGTGTTACCTAATTATTAAAATATTATTTCCATATTTTAATAATATATATTTCTGTAACATTCGTACGCAATTCGCTAGCCGTGTGAAGGTTACGTTTTAATTTCCAAAAAGTGGTTTTTAATTCGTCAATATCTTTTTGTGACTATGTTACGCAATCACGTTCGATCTGAACCGATTTTGATATTTATTTTTATAGTCGAGTTGGTTTTCCATCACTTCAAGATGGCGTATCAAATTATACCAGATAACAGATTTTAAGTTAGAATTTCAGCTTGATCTAACGGTATATAAATAAATAAATAGGAGGGGGGATTGTTAGTAATAAACAGTCAGTTGCCAGTCTCATCGCTAGCAATATGCCCTGACAGGTCGACCTCTACACGCTCTCCCACGGAAACCATCGTGCTGAATCCAGATTTGTTTATCACGATGGGCTAACTGACCTGCTCTTTCATTTTCATTTATCATCCCTCATTGATGCCCCGTCGGTGTATACCAATAGCGCAGGCAGGGTTGCCATTCCATTATCATCCATTATATAAACAAAAAAAAAAAATTAAAAGCTCTGTTACTATCAATAAACTCTATCAGGTCGACGATCATGTGGTTTTCCCTGGAAACCATTGGGTTAATTCTTATGAACTTCGTCATGATGGGCTAACTAACCTACTTTCATCTCCCCCTATCATCCCTCATTTGGTGCCTCGCCAGCGTATATCGATAGTGCAGGCCGGGTTTTAGATTCCATTTTCATCCATCAAAATGAAAAAGCAGGGTCACTTCTATTTTCGTTTTGAAAGAAATGTATCTCTAGCGGAATTGAAATTGCATTATTTTTCGAAATCGAGGCGATTACAGTCAACGTTGTTTTTAGTAATAACTCCAGTAATATGGGTAATGGAACAAAATTACGGGATGTCGTATTGTGTATGTAGTATATTATTACGTGTAATAAGACAATTTTATAAAATTTTCTATTATTCTATCGTCATAATTTTATACGTTGCGGTGACCATGAGAAGAGGTGAAATGAGGACAATTTTGTTAAAGTTCTTATTGCATTTTACACTAGGCCATCCTTTCCCAAAGTGGGCGATAACGCCCTCTTGTGAGCGTATAGGGGCGTTGTGTAGAGGCTTGGGGGATGTTTTGTTGATCTTGAAGAAATAGTCGTTTTTAAGTAGGTTAAAAATTTTGGGCTCTAAAAAATAATTTATTTTCAAAGTGGGCAGCAGACAAAATAAGTTTGGAAACCCCTGCACTAGGTGTACGTTAATTTACACGCATTTAGAACGTAAACAATGTATTTAAACAAAATATGTATATTTCTAATATATATTAAATATCATATGATATTGACAAAAACCAGTTGGAATTTAGGCGTAAATGATACACAATGAAAATAAATCAAGGAAAACGAAAATACCGGTTAAATTAATATTGGATCGCGCATATTATTATAGAGTTTTGTCGCTGAGCCGATGACGTAAACTTATATAAATCGATAAACTTCTCGATCGTCATGGATCAGATGTCAATGATGTCATGTCCATTTTATATAAAATGTAAAATTGGAGTCGTCATCGGCCATTTTCAAACGACATCCTATAACTGTTTCAAGCTTTCCTTAGTACCCCGCCTACAAAAAAAGCACCGGTGGGGTACTGAAGAGCTAAATTCACAGTTTGAAGAACTCTTTCCTATCAGATTTCCAATGGACACGTCTAGACACAACAATGCGTCCCCAAGTCAAGTCA